ATGATCTAGGTGCTGGTTACATAGGTGCACTTACTTCATAAGTATTTATCAAGCTGTAAACTAAAGTATATATATGTAACTAAAGTTCAATGAAAAACATTTACTAAAAAAAGGTAGAGAAAGGACTTTACAAGTCACATACATAGCAAAATCATCAACATTTTGTTGTTGTTGTTATTGTTGTTTCACCATGTACATAAGTTTTATGCCTCCTTCAGTAACCACCATAGAAGATGAAGGGTGTTTCAAATCTTATACTTCTTTTCTTCTTTGTTCTGGGAGTGATGATTAATCTGGGCTAGTCATATATGCTTTTCTAATTAGCAGTGGTACTGAAAATTGTCTTCTAATGCCCAGAATAAGACAATAGAGTCATCTCCACAGCAGACTTTCTCTTGTGGTCCTTCAGCCTTTCCTCCACAGACGGGGTGGGAGCTCTCCTGGAGAAGCCTTGTGGGGTATACAAAGCCTGTGTAAGAGGGGCAATCCCAAAATACACTTAGGTCAGAATCAGGCTATTTCTTTTCTTATTCAGGTCACATATGGACCTTTTGATCCCATCCTAAGTAATAAAGACCAGTTTTCATCAGTTTATAAGATGGCAACCTAGGAGAGCTTTCTGGTCCATGGAATCATCTGGTTGTTGCTGAAGTTTGGCTGGATGTGGGTGGCACTTTATGTATCTGATGATATCCAAGGAGTGCATTTCCTTCAGGATCTAAAGGCACAGATGATAAAAAAAAGGTATCTGTGTGGTCTTTACAGAAAAGCTCCCTGCCACAACTGGTACTGAAACACCGCTAGATTACGATCGTATGGCTAGGATCAGGGTTTCATCTGCAAATGTGTACATAATATATGGAGATATAGGGAGTGTCTGGAACCTGGTATGGGCAAATAAATTCTATTTAATTTTGGGAAAAGTGTGGGTCATGAGAAATCTCTGGTCATCCCACTGGAAGGACATTTTTTTTGTCATGAATCATATGCCATACCTTTTCCATGGAAGCCTTTTAGTTTCAAATGAGAAAAAAAAAGATTCCTGGCTTTGAACATTTTCTAAAGACACTCAACCCTTATCAACACCCACAAGATATTTTATTGACTGAACTGTGGACTGATGTTTTTCAATGTTCACTTCCTGGATCACTATGTATCAAAATTTGCCCACCAAATTCTTCCTTCGAGTTTATACCATTTTATTTGGACATGATGACTGTGTTTGACTCTAACATTTTTATCTATCATGCTGTGTATATGGTGGCCCAAGTCCTTCATAAGATTTTTTGGCAGAAAATAGAAATAGGCTCTCCAGAAGATGAAGAGCAGATTATACTTCTTCCCTGGCAGGTAAACATCCTCTACACTACGACATGCATTTGGCACCTGATAAAGTTGGAAGTATCTTATTAAGATACAATATCATGGCCATATTTTCATTTCAGAATCAAAAGTGGGCCAGCCGGTGTCTTGGTGGTTAAAATTATTGGATACCAAATGGCTGAACTGTTCTGGACTCAGAACAGTCAAGTTCTGGACTCAGAGGTTTGAAAAGCACACCATGCACATGTCTATTTGTGCCCAAATTTCTCCCAAAAAAGGGAGAAATAGAGAACAAATTAGTGCTAACATCACTTATGGGAAGGGTTACTCACTTTACCTGCCTCTGTCCTTCTGTCTTTCTCCAGCAAAGTGTACATGCCCTCTGTCAAAATAAGTAAATAAATAAATAAATAAAAGGATTAGGCAAAATAAAGAGTTGCGATTTTGTTTTACACACTAGATATAAGTATCTGTAATAGTTATATCTATTTAGAGAATTCTGTTATAGGAGACTTAAATTTAAAATGTTTAATTATATCAGGAAAAAACATTTTCTAATGTAGAATAAAGTATTTTAAAATATCTAAGAAAAGAGTCAAGGTAAAGCATAGAAATATTTTTAAATTGTCAAATCTATACATGTTTTCTATAACTGTATCAAATGTCAATACAAATTGACATAATGACCATATCTGAATCCAGCTATTTTATCTATACTGATGCTCTGGCCCAATCCCTACATGTAATCTTATGAAGAGAACAAAAAAGGGTTCCACATAATATTGTATAACTCTTAGAAAAATTTTTAGACATTACTGTACATACAACATACGTAAAAATCGTGGAAGGAAAAACTGTGGTCAAGTTTTAAAATATGAAACCTTTTACTATGCATATAAGCTCAGAATATTATGCCTGATTTACAAGAAATATTGTACTTTAAACTAAATATATTTTAATCAATAATTATGCATAAAATATCTTTATGCCCAATGGATACTACAACTGAGTGGGGAAAACAGACATTGCTGGGGCTGGCAGGTAGTGTGGTGGTTAGAGGCACTGGACTCCCACATGGATGACTGCAGTTTGAGTCCTGGAACTGGTGGCTTGCTTTCTCACTTTCTCTCTCTCTCTCATTCTGTCTTTGCCTGGTCAAATTAAAATAAATAAATAAATGCATGAATAAAATAATTCTAAAAAAAGACATTACCTATCCTGTATATAGTTATTCCAGAAAGATCAAAGAAAAACCAAGAAAACAAAATTAATGGTACTCATCATAATGGGATGTTCATTGTGGAAATTATAAATATGTTTTTAACTTTAATTTCACTATCACACACTGTGTGTCCGCTTTGATAAGAAATAATAAAATAGAGGGCCAGCAGGTGGAATGTTTGTTAAGAAACTGGACACTCCAACATAGTTGAGTATGGTTCAAGTCCCAGGCCTGGTGGCTTACTTTCTCTCTTTCTCTCTATGTCTCTCTCTGATCAAATTAAAATAAATGAAATAATTAGGTTTAAAAATAAAAGCAAAAAAATTCATGACAACCAAATGTAAATAATAAATGACCATAAAAAGATAAGCAGAAAAGAACAAATACAAGAGTCCTAATTACTGAGTAAAATAAGTAAATTAATAACTATACATAAAATATTAACCCCAGAAAGTTTTGTTTACCATCTAATTACTATTTGTACTAACAATGGTAACATCAGATTTGCATTTTGAGCTAATTTGAAGTTGACTCTTAGAAAAGCAGGTCATTTTATAAAAATGGACACCCAGATTTGACTACAGATTACTTAGATTGCTTCTATCTGGAAAAGTAAAAGACATAACAGTTTTATAAACAATAATAGTTAATTACTGTTTCCACAGAATGTTATATATAAATATTTTTAAAGTCTTTTTAAAATTCAAGCGTTTTAAGCTTATATTATGTCATAAATCATTTCTTAATATCTGTCACATGATAAACACACTCTCAATGAAATGTTAAGAAATTAACAGAAGAATTGATGTTTCCTTTTAAAAATCTTTTGAGATGTATCTTATGTACAAAATATTTCATATATTTAATGTACAAATGCATACATTTATCTTATTATCACAATGATCAAGAAAATAATCATATCCATCCACATTATGCCCTTTTAAAAATAACAACATTGCAAAAATAAATTTTAAAAAATATTTAAAAGAACCAGTAATTGGCATAATGGCTATGTTGCTTGACTCCCATGTAGTTGACCACAGTTTGAGTCCTTGGCCTGGTGGCTTAATCTTCACTGGGTAAATGTGTGTGTATCCTCAAGATCCTGAGAGGAGAATGGAGGAGAAGAGATTGCAGCATGACCATCCCCCCTGGGGGGTGATTTCTCACTTTCTGTCTCTCAGTCTCTCTCTATCTTTCTGGTGAGCACATGTACCCTATAGCAAAAACCTCTACAATAAAT